GGAGATGAGTTGGGGTGATGCCACGTGGCAAACGGAGAGAGAAGAGAATCTAAAAAGGAGGGTCCAGATTGGTTAAGGATAAGGGGACTGAATTGAAAACTTCAAATACTTTTAGGGGAAAAGTAAAATTACGAACTAAATTTGGTGAGGGGTTTTACATTAAGCGAGAAATATTGATATTCATCGTGCAAAGTTTTTGAAAAATAATAAAAAAAATTATGAAAATAACTATATTTTAAAATTTATAATATAAAATTAAATAAAAAAAGAGAATAAATTGGTTTAGGCGACAAAATATTTGGATTTCATCGCACAAAGGTTTAAAAAAATAAGTTTTTATTTTTGTAAAGACTTTGCATGACGAAGTTTAAAATTTCGTCGCGCAAAGTAACTTTACGCGACAATGTTTGTTTCATTGTCAAGACTTTGCACAACGAAGTTCAAAATTTTGTTGCTCAATGTGACTTTGCACTATGATGTGTGTTTTGTTGTGCAAAATTTCATCCTGCAAGGAATTTTTTTATTAGTGATGGTATGGGTACACAACCATGGTGGCATCCGTGGCAATGATGTTAGGGCATATGTTAGTTTCTCTCCATATGTTCGTCCATTATTGGCACGAGACGCCACCTTAGTAGTATACATTTGTCGTACACGTTTCTCTCGCTAAAGAGGCTCATTTTTGCCAATATAGTTAGTGACTAGAGGGTTACTGTTAACATTTTTTTAGTGTCTATTGGAATTTAAAAATACAGATATAAATATGTGAAGTTGCGATTGTTTTGAAGCATATGTGGGTTAATTAAGTCAGTTGGCCGTGACGGTTGCTTTCCTGCATGTGTACGTTTTCTTGTCATCAGTCACAGAGTTTAGGTACCCTAATCTAATCTTATTCCTTTTATATTGTTAAATTAAACAAAACAAACGCTCCCTCCCCCAATATTTTTTTAAAAATAAAATCATGTTTGCACAACCAAATAGTCTTGGAAGTAATACACAAGAAGGAGCTCTCCTTCAACTTCTTTGTATTAAAGAATGTGCAACAGTAATGAAACTTATCTCTCTCTTTTCTCTCTGTAAAACATCAAACACAAATCCAATAATTAACTAGGTCATTGTGTTTGGGGAGCCAATTTTATGTATCTAATTAATTATATTAACACAAATACAACACGATTATAAGTCGTCATGTCCGAGATTACCAACTCAAACGTGACCTAATTATTAAACAGTAACACGGCACGGCACACTTGACCTATTGCATTGGCATTCAAGCATGTTTCAGATGATGTTTAAGACTGTGAAACCCACCGAGGTGCCAAATAACACTGGCAGTCAAGTTTCCACCTTCAGTCACATTGGGCCCCATTGCATCTATCACTTTGCTAAGAAATGGCATGATAACCTAGTCATTCCCAAAAACCTCAGTTCACTAATTAATAAGTACTTCTACAATCAGCAAACTTATTCCAAATTCTACTAAACAAATGATGAGCCAGTTTTCCATGTATTCAAACTTAATTTGTCCTTGTCTCCGAATTCATTTATTTATGACAATTAAGATACTGAGATGTATTGGCACTATCTTTCCCAATTAAACTTGACGAACGAGTTCAGTAACCCTATAACGTCATTGCTGATTAGTTTTCAGTTGATACTGAATTTATAGCTAAACTATTCCCCAACCAATAAAGTTGAGTGGCACCTTCCAATTTCACGAAGAAATTCATGATTAATAGAGAGAAAAGAGAAAAGGCAAGGAATTAAAAACATGTTTTCCTTCAAAGGGAACATAAAATACAAGGTCCTGATACTGGCAGACATGAGCTAGAAGTTGCTCTATGTTTCTGTCCTTGGCATTGACGGCCTTGTAGAAATCTTGAACCGACAAGGCGACAACACAGAAGGTGGAAGTGGAATAGACGCTATGCCACACGATCCATCGTCACTACCAGAAACTCTCCATTTATCCTTTTTATTGCAATTCTTATAAAAATTTGAAATTAATTTTGGCTGCCACGATCTTCCGCTTAATGATAATTGGTTAGTTACTTGGTTGCTGCTGATATGACTTGCTGCAGTGAGTGCTGATGGAAAAGGCACAATAATGTGTTGAAGGTGTGGCTCTTTTTTGAGGTCAGGATAATGTGACCATGGCTGAGAGGCCATGAATTACAAGCTAAAAAAATTGTTTGAGAGGAAGGAGAGAAGACTGTTAGACATCTTCATTAACTGTGATGAGAAATAAACCAATTGCAAATGAGGCAAGGAATTGATATTCCATATGGTACCGTTTGGTACGTGGGACGAGACGAAACAGAGTGGGACAAGGCGTTCCGTCCCACGTTGGGTGCGCCTAAAACTGGTAGAACAAGCTGTTCCACGGGACGAGTTTTGGGTGAATTTTCGTTCCACCTCACCCCCTGGAACGACTCATTCTACATCCGTGGAACACAAAATTATAATCTCTCCGTCTCCTTCTTCTTCCTCCTTGTTTCCATCCGAGGGCATCTTTGCTCCCGCTCCGTTCCGTTCCGTCCTGTTCCTTCCCGTCCCGTTCCGTTCCATTCCGCCCCGTCTGCATACCAAACGATACCTATATTCCATATACAGTATATAAGATGGAAACAAAATTCTGGCCCAAATAATTGATCATGAAATAGTCTGAGTGGACTGTTCTTAGAGTGTGGGCTGATTTTGCATTGAAAAATAATTAAGATTGGAGCTGTATTGAGCATCAAAGCCACCCAAAATAACTATGTCACCTCAAAAATAATCAAGCTTAGAACTTCGCAAGACTCCAAGGTCCTCCTGCACTCATTTCTTTACAAATTTTCCTTTGTGTTTTGTTTTTTATCGTTGGGTGCATGATGACTTACAGTTTTTATTGGTTGTTGACAAACAATACAATATATATAAAAATATTTTACAATGAGCCAAAAAACACTGAATTTAATAAATGCATGCCCGTACAGTGTTGCTAGGCACAATAGATAACAAACTCATCACAAATATATATTATCTTTGCATCCATGTCAGTAGAACTAGAGACTTTCTCCAACCAAGTACAGACAATTACTGCTAAAAAAGGGCTTCTAGTTTAGATGTAATTAATAGTATTCACTAGAAGTTTCACATTATTTCTTGTGCTATTGTGACAACATCAATAGAAGTGTCAATGTTATTTAAGTTGAGAAGTGATGGCATGTCTGACCTTTTTGTTTATCTGTAAGGTATGCTGAGCTTCTTGCATTTTTTTCTGGTACACATGTGTCTCCAATATTGTTCAGTTACCATTCATGCAATTTAGTTTATACTTTTATATCAATTTCTGACCTCTTTTAATTCCCTATTCTTCACCATCTTAATTAGCTGGAAAGTGTTATGGGAGCAGTATATATCAAGCAAAACCACAAATGCAAATTGAATTAGTTTTGCAAATTAAAATCACTCTCAATGGGCTACCAAATGTAGTTGGGGGATCACTTGCCCCCACCATCCATACATTACTTATCTCCTTACAGATCCACTTGTTTCCATTTCACATTGAGGAGACATCCTTATGAGACCCCTACCCTAATGATACATCATTTTCCTTATTCTTTTCTGTTTGTATGTTTCCTATATTCCCAAAATTCTCCTCATTGGCACACTGACTAGAGATTCCCTATATTGTAGGCCTCTAGACCCAAGTATGTTTACTTTCCATCTTCTTCAAGAGTCCTAGTGGCTCATATCCTTGCACTAATTTCTTTTAAAAACATCTAGTCATTGAATTCAGCAATTTATTATTCCGCTACTTCCGTTACTTGAGCATCCACAATAATAGAAAAAGGAAAAACAAAAGCAAGCCAGGGAGGTGCATGTAAAGCTTTAATTAATTGACTGCATGAAAAGGCCAAATCTGTGATGCTTTTGCGTTGGGGTAGCAGTGTTGGGGAGGTTCATGCATGAGGAAGGAAAAGAGTCTTTTTTCCTTGAAGAGGCATGGACCTATGTTGTTGTCCCTTCACAAAAGCACTTACATGAGAGATGAACTACTTTATCAATACAACATGATGTCTTGAGTCCTCACCATGCTCATATCACATAGAAAGTTGAAGTGTCACCTCTTTTTTATCTTTTTCATTTTTTATTTTTTGGGTCTTTCCTCTTTTGGGTTAGGAGGGCTGCTTAGTCATTTTCACTGTATGGATTGTTATACAATTAACTGATAAGATGAGCAATCATTATTTGAAAAGGGATTTACAGTGAATCCATCGAACACTTGAAGAAACTTACAAAGAAAAACAGTATAACTGAAAATTTGAAACCCAGCAGAACAATAGCAAACCACATCAGATGTCAAGTAAATGACTAAGCAGTGGAACATGCATCTGTGTAGAAAGTAGCTTTTGTTTATTTTATCACTTAGGCCACTTAAAAGAACTGTTTGATAAGCATTTTGGGTTTAGTTTTCCGAGATAGGGCGAAGTGTATGGGGGTAAATGTGGGATGAAAAAATGTGGTGAAGAGCATGAAAGAAACAAAGAAATAAATGAAAACAAAATCTTGAAAGTGAAACTACTAGAAATAATTTTTGGTTTATGATTTTTAATTTTTACTTTCCGTATGCATTTATTCTACATCACTCGCACCATCACTCATTCACTCTTTTATATCCCTAATCGCTGCCATATATTTCCACTCTATTTCTAATACAAAAATGAGAACTAAAACACAATACATGAAATGGATATCAGATGATTTACTTTATACTGTCTAGTAGTGATTCTGCCTCACATAATTTATATTTATTATGTCATTAGTTTTAACTAATTTCCAAATGTTAAGAGAGGCAAAACAAAAATTTCTATGCCCAACAGAAAAGAAGGCGAACAGTAAAACTTGTCAATTTTACAAAGTGGGACGAGCCTCTCATAACCTCAATCGTACAAACTGCAATTACATCCCTTTATGCTCAAAATAGACTTGATATATATATATATATATATATATATATATATATTTCCCAATCTATCAATGCAACTATGCTATGTCGCCCAATTGGAAAACCAACTTAAAAGATTTGTAAGTGTACATCTCTTTAGTTCTTTGAAGGATCACATGTAGAGAGAATGAAAAATAGCAGTGTTGTTGCCAACCTCATCATGCCAAGCAATTCAATCACTATCATTCTTTTGCTTCTCAGCATCTTTCTGTTTCCTTCCATCTCTGCTCTGAACCAAGAGGGTATCTCCCTCCTTTCATGGCTTTCAACCTTCAATTCTTCTTCCTCTGCCGCCTTCTTCTCTTCATGGACTCCTGCTGATCAGGATCCATGCAAATGGGATTATATCAGATGTTCCAGTAACGGGTTTGTTTCCAAAATCAGAATCATCTCGATCCATATTCCTACTAGCTTCCCAATCCAGCTCCTCTCCTTCAACTATCTCACCACTCTTGTACTCTCAAATGGGAACCTCACTGGAGAAATCCCACGCTCGATTGGAAACTTGTCTTCGCTTATCACCCTTAATCTCAGCTTCAATGCTCTAACAGGAGATATTCCACAAGAGATAGGAAAGTTATCCAACCTGCAGTTGTTATCACTCAATTCAAATTCATTGCATGGTGCAATTCCCATAGAAATTGGAAACTGTTCAAAGCTTCAACAGCTTGAAGTGTATGACAACCATCTATCCGGAAAGGTTCCTGCAGAAATAGGCCAGTTGTTAGCTCTGGAAGTTTTTCGTGCAGGCGGGAATCCTGGAATTCATGGAGAAATTCCAATGCAAATATCAAAGTGCAAGAGTCTAACTATTCTTGGCCTTGCAGCTACCGGAATCACAGGGAAGATTCCAAGCAGTGTTGGAGAACTAAAAAATCTTCAAACTCTTTCGGTCTATACTGCAAACCTCACAGGTGACATCCCTCCGGAAATTGGTAATTGTTCAGCCTTACGAAATTTGTTTCTGTATGACAACCAGCTTTCTGGTCAAATTCCTGGTGAGCTTGGTCTGTTGAAAAGGCTTAAAAGAGTTCTGCTATGGAAGAACAATCTAAGTGGAAGCATTCCGAGCGCACTAGGGAACTGTTTGGATTTGATAGTTATCGATTTCTCAATTAATCATCTGAGTGGTGAAATTCCTCTCTCTTTTGCAAATTTAGTGGCACTGGAGGAGTTTCTGCTGTCTGAGAATCAGATATCAGGCAACATACCACCTTTATTCGGAAACTTGTCAAACTTAAAGCAACTTGAATTGGACAACAACAGATTTGCAGGCGTGATTCCACCTGTCATTGGGCAGCTAAAAGAACTTACTCTGTTCTATGCCTGGAATAATCAGCTCCATGGAAGCATACCAAATGAGCTGGCCAATTGTGAGAAACTTCAAGCGCTGGATCTTTCACACAATCTCCTCACTGGGTCAGTTCCAAGTTCTCTCTTTGACCTCAAGAACTTAACTCAATTGTTGCTGATATCAAATCAATTTTTAGGAGAAGTTCCAAGGAATATCGGTAGCTGCACCGGCTTGGTCCGCTTAAGGCTGGGATCAAACAACTTCACAGGCCAAATTCCATCAGAACTTCGACTCCTGCATAGATTGAGCTTCCTTGAATTGTCAGAAAATCAATTTACTGGGGAAATTCCTCCTGATATCGGAAACTGCACTCAGTTAGAAATGGTTGACTTGCATGGAAATCAGCTGCAAGGCATGATTCCTTCGTCTTTGCAATTCCTTACTGGTCTTAATGTTTTAGACCTTTCCATGAACCAGATAGAAGGCACGATTCCTGAAGAGTTGGGCAAGCTAACATCCCTAAACAAACTGGTCATCAATGGAAATCGCATCACAGGTTCCATTCCTAAATCATTGGGCCTATGCAAGGATTTGCAGTTGTTAGATATGAGCAGCAACAATATCACTGGCACCATCCCAGATGAGATCGGACACTTGCAAGAGCTAGATATTCTCTTGAATCTGAGTTGGAATTCTCTGAGAGGCCCCATTCCAGAAAGCTTCTCAAATCTCTCAAAACTCGCCAATATGGACCTCTCCCATAATTTTTTGACAGGAAGCCTCAGAGTACTGGGTAGTCTTGACAACCTCGTGTCCCTAAATGTCTCACACAATGACTTCTCAGGTCCACTTCCCAATACTAATTTCTTCAAAGACATTCCACCAACTGCGTTTGCTGGTAACCCGAAGCTGTGTATCAACAGAAATCAGTGCCACTTGAATGACAACCTGCACGACAAGAAATCAATCAGATATCTACTTGTTTGCGCTCTTCTTAGCGTGACTGCAACCATCATGGTTATGCTTGCTGGAATATTTTTATTTGTCAGAATTTGTGGAATCACATTTGGGATGCACAGTGAACAAGAAAATGATCTGGTGTGGGCTTTCACCCCATTTCAAAAGCTTAATTTTTCTGTTAATGATATTGTGACTGGGCTATCAGAATCAAACGTTGTGGGAAAGGGTTGCTCGGGAATGGTTTATCGTGTGGAGACTCCAACGAAGCAGGTCATTGCAGTGAAGAAGTTATGGCCGGTAAATAATGGCGAGCTCCCAGAGAGGGACTTGTTTACGACAGAAGTTCATACTCTTGGATCAATTAGGCATAAAAACATAGTGAGGCTTCTGGGGTGTTGTAACAATGGAAAAACCAGACTTCTTTTGTTCGATTACATCGCGAATGGGAGTTTGGCCAGCTTGCTACACGAGAAGAGGCTGTTCTTGGATTGGGATGCAAGGTACAAGATTGTACTGGGAGCAGCTCAGGGTTTAGCTTATCTCCATCACGATTGTATACCTCAAATAGTTCATCGAGATATCAAGGCTAACAACATCTTGGTTGGACCACAGTATGAATCTTTTATAGCAGATTTTGGCATTGCAAAGCTTTTGAATTCTCCAGAATGCTGCAAAGCCTCCAACACAGTTGCAGGTTCTTATGGCTACATTGCTCCAGGTAAGTGTAAATCACTCGGATTCTTTCATAATCCGTTCATATGTTTATTAAGGTTGTCGATTAATTGAACATGATGGTTAATACATTATTGCAGAATATGGATACAGTTTGAGGATCACAGAGAAGAGCGATGTGTATAGCTATGGAGTGGTCCTCCTGGAGGTCCTGACCGGGAAGGAACCAATGGATAACAAGATCCCGGAAGGTGCCCATATTGTCACTTGGGTGAATACGGAACTTAGAGTAAGGAAAAGAGATTTCACATCAGTTCTAGACCAGCAGCTAATTTTGCTATCAGGGACACAAACCCAAGAGATGCTTCAAGTGCTTGGGGTGGCTCTTCTCTGTGTGAATCCTTGCCCGGAGGAAAGGCCAACTATGAAAGATGTAACGGCAATGCTCAAGGAGATTCGACATGAGAACGAGGATTGTGAAAAACCAGATTTTCTTGGCAAAGGAGTTGCTACAAACCGAAACGCTACAGTTCACAGTTCTAGTTTCTCCAGGTCATCTGAACCTCTAATTGGATCACCTTCTTGTTCTCCATAAACTCCTGAAGTTATCGCTCCTGTTCATTGATTTGAGTTTAACTTCTTGTTCAGATTTTTTTTTTTTTTTAAGTACAATTTGTATAGTTAATGTTTTGTAGTAGCAATAAGACGTGTTTATGGTGTTTCACCGACTCAGGTGCACACAGTAGAAGTAAAAGTAAAATCTCCCGAGCTAGTAGTTCAGTACAATCTGGAGCATAATTTATGTTTGACAATTCTAAGCTAAGAGATTAAAAGAGAAACAGCGTAAGCAGAATCCCAAGTCCCTCACATTTCAGAATTCAGATACGACTTTTGTGACGATGTCTATTTGTTCTCTTTTGATCTCACTCTAAATCACATTTATCTGTAACAACTAAGATACTATTGTATGTTCTGTCGCATTAAGAGCCCGTTTGATAACTATCTCGTTTTTTATTTTTAGTTTTCACTTTTTGATTTGACTTAAAGAGGAAATACAAGGAATGAGAGATGAATAAGAATATCGGAGAGGGCAGTAGGAAGAATGTGGAAGAAATGCACATGGAATGCTACATGAAAACAAAAAACTAAAAATCTCTACTTTTTTGTTTTCATTCTGTACACCACTTTATGTACATTTCTTCCTCCTCCATCCTACCACATTCCCTCCACATTCTCGATTCCTCCATCGTTCTATCTATTTTCTCTCTATCTCTAGCAAGAAAGGCAAAAACTAAAAACTGAAAAGATTATTAAACTGACGCTTAGCGTCTAAAATTTACAACCAAAAATAACTTTGATACTTCATCATTTAAGCCAAAACTCCACCACGTTGTCCCAACAACACAACAATAACCTGCTTCCAATGGCAATGCAAGTTTGTAGTACGTAATACAAAAAAGAATTTGGGGACCAAAAGCAGTGGGCATAGATTCCAAGGCTTATTCAAACTGTGTCATGTGTGTGGGGTCTGACTAAAAAGCAATGGTGGTGACAATCTTGTTTAGCAAAAGCCAGATAAAAACATGAAATTTTGAGAAGAAGAAGAAGCAATTTTGGACCACCATATATCCTTCTCAAGCTTTTTTCTCTCCCCACAACAATTATTTAAGAAAAGAAAAAGAACTTTCATGTTTCCATGTCCTTTGACATGTGGTACTGGACCATCTCAGGCCCACTGATTTTATATCGTAGCTAAGATTATCATATTCTATGGCTACGACTGCAAGCAACTATCAACTAATCATTCTTCTAAATCTTCTCATAAAAAACTATATAGATGATCAAGAATGAATAATGATGCAATAGTTGATTGCACCGGTGAATAGGGACTTTCTCTTCAACCCACTGCGTCCAAGGTTTAAACCCTCCCCCCTCCTCCTTAGTTTAGATTAGTACAAAACGTCTTTCGTAATTCAAAAAAAAAAAATGAATAATGATTTATATGCAGAAATTCTCCATGCCAGACTTCGAAGGAATGGACGCAACACCTATTGGTCGGCATCGATCAGCATGCTATTGTTTCAACTGCTAGGGGCATCAATCAGCACAGTGCTTCAATCGGCACCCACCCTTTTATCAATTTTTCCCATTCCCGGCATGCTCAATTATGTTAGGTGGGGTAAGAAAATCAGAACCTCAAAATTTGTAATTGCTCAAAGAGATTTTAGAACACAATCAAATGCAGAAGTATGAGAAATGGAAGAGTTTAATTGTACTTCACTGTGAAAGAAAAATCAAAACACAAGCCAGCTAAAAGCATCTACTTAATAAATTGTTCCACATTTATCACCTACTTAATAAATTGTTCAACAATATATATCTCCTAACTCACTCATCCGCTGATGATTTCAAGTTCCAATCTAGACACAATACGGAAGGTGGGATATGGAAAGCGAAAACCTACCCTTCACTGTATAATAAAAAGAAATAGAAAAAACAAACTAGGACCATTCGTGCACCTAGACATGTGACAGAAGGAAAACCCAGTTACAAATGAAAAGAATATGTCCATATCAGCTGTCAAAGGTGAAAATGTCTCTAAACTTGTCCTCCCAAACATCCTACAGCTTTATACATCTCACACAGTAGCAGGGAAAACATACCATATTGCGTTCTCCTTTAGGCCAATGTCCATGATCTTGCAATGTGCTGGTGCATTCAGTTGCAAGGTTTTAGGCGCGAGACGCCGAGATCTAGTGTACCAAACATTGGGGGAAGTAGCAAACATTGGAGCTCATGTGTGCAAATATCATCAGGCATCCCATATTTTGAGGGAGACAAATTTATTGATTAATATAGTATATAAAAACGTTGTAGGTTTCCAATTACAACAGCTTCTCACCGAAATGAGGGAAAGGAAATCAAATATTATAGTATATCCTATCTTTATGTGGTTTCGGAAACTGAAAGCAATGAAAAAAGGAATATTAGAGGAACAATGAGAAGAAATTATAAGTTACATTCCGATATAAATAAGGCTGCCGTCCATTCAAAAGAAACGTCATGAAGAAAAAATTTACTCACAGATTATAATCTCAAGAAAGTTGAAACCAAGTTTACATATCACAGTTATCTCTAGGGTTGCCACTTTATGCTGCATCCAACACTTCAAAAAAATAATGACTTTCAGAATATAACCATGCAAGACCATAATCCTAAAGACCTCAAAAAAAAAAAAAAAAAAAAAGTAGCATAAGAGGTACCTGGGCTTCTGATTCGATGGTACTGGTTGGCAACTGAGAGCACAATCTATTGCCAGGCTTAAGTCCCTACATGGAATGGAGTATTTCAAATCAGTTCCTATACCTCAGAATATATGTTCTAAAGCTAACATGTGAACATATTAAAGATAAAACCACATAGGCCTACCTTCCAGTTACAGACACATTATTACTAGGTCTTGAATCATCAAACTGGCCATGGTACACCAGTTCAAATGGCCTCCGTCCATCCTGTTAAGTAGTAATAATTTTAGCTGCGTGATAGAAATGGTAAAAATAAAAATAAAAGGTCGATAAACTCAAATTCAGATCACATTGACAATTTACAATTGGTCCCGTAAAGAAAAAAGTGAAATGAGGTACTGTCCTTAAACAGTTTCAACAAATTGATTGGTGTAGGTTGTGGTCACCTTTTTAAATAGGAAGAACTCGGGTGTGCAAACTGCTCCAAAATCTCGAGCCACATCCTGTGACTGTATTAAACACATTCAACGATGATAATGAATTCACTATTCAAAGAGTTACCAGGAGCATTATTGTGTTTCAAGTAAGTTGAAACACTATTAGACTTCATACAAAGTGTGACATGAATTCAACTGCCCTCGAAATCTCAGTTTTAGGAATGGCTAGCCTACAGCTGACAAAAAAATACAAGACCAGTAGAATAGGAAAAGGAAAAAAAAAAAAAAGTGACTTAAGTTGCTGAAGTTACATAATAATCAAGACTATCATTTCTTGATTGTTTCTAATAGGCTACATCTAAGAAAGCAAATTCTTTTTACACCCCTATACCTTCAAATTTTACACTTGCAAAGACTTTTGCTTTTTAGGGACCCATGTTTCATAAAATGAACCACTGATTTAGATAATGTTGTGAATATCGCGTTTAAGAATGGGAAAAACAGAATGAACAAGGAAACCGAAAAAACCAATATGGACAATACCAAGAATTAAGGTGGTTCGGCTATATGTGCCTATGTCCACAGGATAGCAACAACAATCTTTCACTATATCAAAATAAGTACAACCAATAATCTTGCCAAGACTCTAGAATTAAGAACTTGACAATAAACTTGAAAGAACAAGAAAAAGAAATAGACTCTTTATCTCTATTCTTTTCTGTAGCACACACTTTGCCCTTACAACATTCTCTCACTTCAATCCCTTGAGTGGTATACAAAATATTGTTTTGCTCCAAATTCAAAACTAGTCCAATAGCCCCTTTATATAGACATAATAAAGGTCTTTCTTCAATAAGGATTACTAATCCAAATTGGAATCTAGTTATGAATCATTCTCCAATTGAGAAACCAACTCCGACTGTGTAAACAACTCCAATTGGGAAAACAATTAATCATCTAAAACCATATTTCCCAATAGCCTTAGGACAACTCATCATGGGCTGGAAAACCCAATAGATAAAACCTCCCAGCCTGTCTTGCATGCCGAATATCAAGCTACTCATGCACTTGTAGCCATAAGTATCTCTTCTTTTAATTTTTATTTTTTTTTTTTTGTGTTAAATAAAGTTCAAGTTTGAATTAGTACATTGAGAAACTTAATTTTGATAGTGTGTGCGTACATGTATGACTGAGAACATTGCATTTATACCAAAACCTGCCAGATTCTTATGATAGTAAGATATTATCGCTCAGCAACATGCATATTTTCACAGGCCCCAATAAAAGAGCAAAATGAGATAAAGCAGGTTGAGATTGGCACTTTGGCAGTAGCATACCTCATCATATAGATATGGGAAAGGATATTTGAACAGTTTAGCATCTTCTGCCATAAATTGTGGTCCATCCTGTCAGGAAGAGTTCCACAACTAACGGATCATACAATAGCTTTACAAGCTCTAACCCCAAACTATGGAGCTAGTAGAATCTAGTACCTGTGGATGTGTAGCTACAGAATTTGAAGATATTGCAACAACTGCTAGTCCTTTCTGGGAAAAAGTTTTAACAATATAATTGTAACAAATACACAAATAAACACATTTGAATAAGTTAGTATCATATATTCCTTTGCACAGTGAAGTTTGGGGTACAACTGTCAAATGAAGCAAGCCTCTTAGAAGGAAAAAAATTTCAGCTATCGTAAGTCTTACCTTCATATAGAAATTTGCAAGTTTCACGATACTTTTTTTCAGGTGTTTAACAAATGGGCAGTGGTTGCAGATAAACATAACCTGCACCATTGCACTGTTAACATGCATCCAATCCCTTGCTTATATGCGAAGAAACACATAATGTATGCAATCTAATATTTTATTTAGTTAAGAAACCACATAGAGTTTACTTCCAACATTAAGAGGAGGCAGCAGATTACAGTCTGTGCACTATAGGTCCGTTGTGCTGATCTTTTCATATGTCACATATCGCAGTAGATTTCATAATTATTTTCCCTAATTTTCTCAAGCTACATATGACCTAACTAGGTCATGTGCAGGTATGCACATAAAAAATTGGCAGCTGAAACGTTACAGATGTCCGGTGATGGCATATAGATCTCCTTACTAATGATAAAGCATAAAAGGTTCCAGTTAAATCAGAATAAATTGGTTGCTTCAAGAAATGACACTTGGAACGATTATTCAACTAAAAGCGCTCGGTGGTAGTATCTTCCTCAGTATAATCTATTGGCCAATAGTTATGTAAACTTCTATATGTAGACTGTTGCATTTCTTGTACTATAGAGATGAACTAAAGTTGTATTCTAATTAGTTGTTTATGCTCTCACCCCCAGCTTAATCCAATGCTAAGCCTGCTGTGTGTGGAAAATAGCGAGATACTATCTCATTTTTTAGTGATATAAAGCTTGCAACATTCCAAAAACTAAGATATCTGGCAGGTTAGCCATTGGCTGTCAGTACTACAAGCGCCTGCCTGGTGGGCTAGTTGGGATAAGTTATGACCAATTAAAATGGACTTGACTCCGGTCCTTTTTTTGTTGTGTCAATTGTGGGGTGGAAATGACTGGGCATGAGTCAAATGTGGGGTGGACACGATCATGCACGATGACTTGTGAACCCACAATTGAGTGGGTAATCTAACCTACCCTTATACATGGGATACATGTCCTATATTACATGTCTATATCAATCCAATCCTATCTCTAAGGTTCAATCTCATCCAAGCCACTAAACGGGCCCCAAGTGTAAATCTTTCCCAAACACGACAGCAAAAAGTGAATTGAATGAACTAACTAACTTCTATAGCTATGTACTTGATCTACAAGTAATTCAGAGCAACGATAAGACCTAGAATCATCATTAACAAAATAAAGGAAACCTCCTTGTTGGCTTAGACGAGCACTGCAATTTCCTCATCTAAGAATCTTCCATTTACAACTTGGTTGTGCCACTTCTAACAAGTTTGTAAATTCAAATTCTAGTAAGATAAAACGAACGTAAAGTCATTTGCAGTTGTTATTTAATAAGGACCTACTTCAGTTCATGTTAATTTATCTAAAAATCCACTCAAACTAAATGTCAATATCCGATACATGACATATAGTTAGAAAATCAATCAAACAATAACCAGCCAAAACACCATTGAAGAAAACACAAAGAAAGAACTCACCAGTAATGCAGGATGTGATTCAAAATCTTCCAATTTCCAAACTTTCCCAGTAAGTGGCTCCGGAATCTGAAACCAATTCCCCAAAACAATCAAAATAAAGAACAAATTTTGAACAAAATTTAATAAGAACAAGTATATTTTGGCAAAAAATAAAAAGAACAAGTATATATGTAGTGCCTCAAAATTGGGAGCTCGGAAGCCCAGTGAGACGCCTTTGGACTCGGTTCGAGCAGCTCGAACCACAAGCTTTGTTGCGGGCAGAGCGGTCCGCAGTTGCAGAGATTCAAAACCCACTTTGAAAGACGAGAATTTTGGTGCGAATTGGTACACAAAGTTTGGCACGGTGCGAGGTGAGAGCAGTGGAGATGCGCATAGTGAGCTCACAGTGACTGTTGTGGCAACAGCCATGGCTGATAGATGAGTATCTCGCTTAAGCTCGGTTATGAGTAACTGTAATTGTACGGCTAAAGAGATATACTTGAAGTTTGGGAAGGTACAATAACCGCCAATTACTGTGCGTGGATTTAGAGTTAAGGGTATATTTGGCATTTTACTTTCCTATATCGTTTCCCAAATTTCCGAAGATGCAAATAGTCATTTAGCATGGGTGTTAAAAAGTGTTGAGTTTTTACATGATAACGTGAGTTTGAATTTTATCGGTAGTTAATCTAACAAAATTAGTGCTTTGATTAAAAAAAAAAAACACACAAACAAAGTGAGGATTTTGAGGAATTTTAATACTTTTAATTAAAACAATAATGTTAGGAAAACTAAATTTGCAAATAGAATTTTGTAAACCAAAAGTTGATAAGTGAATTATTAATTTTGGTTTAAAAATTCGACCCCTCTTCCTAGCATTATCTATTTAGGAATCCACCATATTCAGCTAAGATTTTCAAAAATGTTTATAATATTTCAAGTGTATTTAATTGGATCTTCTAGTTGAGGATTGCTTGCAAATAGTCTCTCCATCTATTTGTAATCTTTGATGTACTACCTCAAATAGAGCTGTTTTGGATCATTTCTATCAATGAACGCTATTGTTTTATTAAAATATATATATATATATATATATATTTTAAAGAATTTTAGAAAGTTGAAGGATTTAAGAGAATGAGATCTCTTAATGTATTTTAAACATTCTCAAATCTCACATTTTTTATGAAGATTTTGAGAAAATTAAATCAAAATTTTACATAAAATCTCTATAAATTTATTAAACTCCACCAAAAATCTATGAATGTATAAATCTATTACCATCTCTCTAAATTTCAATTGAATGCACACTAAGCCGTAATCAAAATAGGTGAAATTGAATTAAGAAGGAATTTGATTGATGAGAAATCAGAAAGAGATTTCTAAGAAAGGTGTTTACTAAACTATCGGAAAACATAGTAGGAATAATGTCAATTATGGATAAATTGTTTACCAATTCACTTTTGAATTGGAATTTGAAATCATTTGATTACTAAACTACCCTTAATCTAAATGAGTTATTTTATGTGATAATTAATAAAATTTAATTTTCATAAACAACCTTGACCCATAAATAATTGAACTTTCTCTCTCTTTATAAACTAAATTTTTAGCCCTTTTTTACCATTTTAAACCTAATTTTGTATACCCCCCAGTACAAATCCTCTCAGATCTAAAAAAATGAGCCTAAGGATCAAATGATTCGGCCCGTTCAAATTTGATTCAACTGTTACAAAGATGAGGCTCCTCTAAAGTTATAATAATTGTAATCGTTGGATTAAATTTCAACTGTGACGACCCGTCCCGAATAAATATATATTTTTTCTTTCCGAAAGTGTAAATGATGATTATGCCCTCATTGGCTTGGTGAGGTGGATGTGTGTAAATTATTTTTGTCGCTAGTTTGATTAAATTGTACTCGACATCACGAGAGTGTTAACACGAGTTTGGGTCAAATCGGGTTCGTAATGAAAATATTACGAATGAATAAGTGAGATTGGGTTGGTTTTATTTCTATTTGGACTCAATTGTTTAAACCCTAAATTCTATAGCCCAATTAGGGCTTGAGGCCATTTTAAATTGGCCAACCCGTGACCAATTTCACACACACACACACACACACACACACACACACACGTGCCATCATTTATCCCTCACCTTTGTTCTCAAGACTTCCATGTCCGTACAACCGAGGAATCATCATTCCAACCACCACCAAATCGACATAGATCGTTCCTAAATTGGTCATCATCATCTTCCTCGTGACTCCACTAGTTTATCCATACCCATAGTTGAGGGAATAGATGACGGGAACTTTGGAGCCTAGAACTCCGGTGAGGGGTCCAATATCCTCTGACACGATCGTGAAGGATTTACGTGGTTTCGAGACTAAAAAAGGTATCCACACAACTCCTCTAGTGTTTTAGGCTAATTTTGGTTAAGGTTGAACGTCAGAATAAGCTCGACTGTGGGTTTCCAGGTTTAGCCGGTTACTCCAAGTCACTTTCCGACCGTGTTCCGTTGGTTTTAGGACCTCTAAGAGGTAAGGATTTGTTCTCCTTGTTGAGAGTTTCAAATCCATATAAGATTTGTGAAGTTTGGTGTTGAATTGAAGGAGATATTAAAGTTTTAAATTTTTCTAAAAACTAGCAACTGCAACGGCAATCGGCGCCAGAATCCGACAAACCACTAGAGAATGAAGGAGAATATTTCGTCAACCTTGATGGAATATACTGACGGCATCAGGTAACTTTAACAGAATATTCTAGGAATTTAACGGAATATTCCCTAACATCGTTAGGGAATCCGTTAGTGTGCCAGGCAAGTGCCTGGGTGTGTCTAGCGAGTGTGGTCGTGCCTTGGCGGGCACATGAGGGCGCGTGGGACATCGAAATTTTTTTTCTAAAAGTATGGTGATGGTCATGGTGTTGACTGTTGTAGGCCACGATAATATATTCAAACACCCGACTTAAGCAACGTATGAAAAGTTACTACACAGTTTTGGCTATGTGCTTAAAATTAATGTTAAATTAGTTGTTTCACATATAATTGAGATGTATCCGGAGTACGAGCGTAGTCAGGCAAAACTCGGGGGTTACGACCCTGCAACATACCAGTGAGTGGGCTTTTGGTTTTCTATATATATGTATATATGCTTTACATTTTCCCAAAAGCTGTTTTAAAACGAGCGTATTCTTTTAAATGCCATGTCATGCTTGAATTTCGTTTTATTATATGCATTGATGTGTATGTGCATACTATTGTATGACGCTACGGAGGCCAGGTAAGTTTCAGGTGAGTACTGCATGATGTTAGTGGTTGCATTGGTTATGGTTATACGTAGAGACATGTAGAACTCATTATCCTGCACCCCGGTGTTAGTGCTCCCGCTCGTGGCCAGGACACAGTCTTTCACGTGATGTTCACCTCCAGCACCACACGCTCACCTTGGATTCAAGTTCGGTGCATAGCCCTGTCGTATATACCACAATAGGTGGTTCTGACTCGTAGATGACCCACAATTATTCTCATAGCCTTCACGTGATCGTAACACTTGAGCGCACTTATTTACACCCAGCCCTGTCGTACAAACCACAATAAGTGGTTTCGACTCGTGTGCATGCATATTTGATGAGCTATAGGTTCAGCCGTACAGGTCACATTAGGTGACTCTGGCTGACATATCATTTATATTGGTTTATTTCACCTAGCATACTTATTTCATTGCTGAGATACTTGACATGGCATATACTCGATTTTCATTACTCTCGAGCATGATTTCTACATACGTATGCATTACTATTTTCTTGGAAATTATACAGGTTTTATGATGAGGGGTTATTATTTTCGGAAAGTGAAATGATTTTAAAAAGCTTTGTTATTTCCACTCAAGTTTTCTGTTTTGCGCCCCTTCAGGTTCTAGTTAGAAGTTTGTGTTGGTGGCTTACGAGGACCCTACAGCGGTTCCAACAGACCTCAAATAATGTAGGGATTTCTTTCATGCCTTGTATAATTATTACCTAGCTGGCTGGACTGCATCTAGGTTACCTATGCTCTGAATATGTGTATCTACACTTTAAATACTTCCACGTGCACTTGTTTATTTAACTAGTGTAAGTTAGCTAGTTTGGATTTTTATTTACTCATATTTTCATATCATTATCACTTCCGCATTGTGCACATGGCCACGTTATTCTCATGTGAGGGCCAACATGTCTCGATTCCGGTCGGGGTGTGTCATCAACGGCTCGGATCATTTGATCCTTAGGCTCCGTATTTTTAAATCTTCACGTCATTTCCTCTTCTCCCAACATCCTTCATCGGGGACTAGGATTCTCTTCTCTCATCTTTCCATCCATTTCCATCCCTCCTCTCACACTCTTTATTTTGTCTGTCTCTTTCTATAAAAAATTAATATAAGATGTTGACGTGGCTTAACGTGACCATTCAAATAGAAGGTGAAAAAAAAGAAAAAGAAAGAGAGAAACCCTTCGTTAATCCTCCCCAGCCGACACCACCACCGCCACTACCCTCTCCCTCCCACCCCAACGTTTTATTTTATGCGCATCCTTCATTATCATTTCTTGCAGCTCCATCTCTCCCACTCCTCCATCCCCACATGACCACGACGCCACGACCATAGAAGAACCAGAGCTTTACGATATATAAAGACGTCCTAGGGTTCTTGGGATTGGTTGATTCGGGTGTAAATGCAAGGGAGGTGAAAGGGAGGCAGGCGGAGAGGTCTGGCCCGTCTGGGTCTGTTGATTTCAATGGCAGATTGGAGTTTTAGGAATTAGCTGGGGTTATAATAGGTAGAAATGTTGTATTCCGAATTCCGTTTGTCTCACCTCCCACCTCCTACCTCAGGAATACTATTCTTCCAAAATCAGGAATCCAATTCCATTTTTCAAGTGGACCGCACCCATTTTAATTCCTCCAAATTTTACTAAATGCAAGAATACCTGTATCCGAATCATACTCCGACTTTTGATTCTGATTACAACACGTAAACACGCGCTAAAAGTAGGGGCGGCCAGGGTTTTAGGGTTTATGGTTTGTGGGAACTATGATTATTGACATGGCTACTTGAACCCTAAACCCTGTCAGTTGAACATCGAATCGGCGACGGCAGCCTGTTCGACCGTTCTGGGGCTGTGACGTGAAGCAGAGGCCGGAAGGTAAATCGACGAACCAACGATGGAACTTTGCTTGGGAGATGGCGGGGGTGATAGCAACGCCCTCGTATTGCCAGCTAAGAGAAACAAAAGGAAGGGCACCAATCAGGTGAAAACTGAAATTAATTTACTGATATCACCGCTTTCATCTTTTCTGTCAATGAATTCCATTTAATTTGTTTCTGAATCGTATTTGATTTTACCCTAGGAGTGTGGAAAACCCAGTAAAAGAAGAAAAGCACCAACGGTTAGCAAATCCCAGCGGAGGAGGCTCAAGAAGTTGGAGGTTCGTTGGTCTATCTGTCTGTGCGTTTTCGTTTCGTTTTGATATTTGTTTCGTTCTTCGCTTAATTTGATTTTACCCTAGGAGTGTGGAAAACCCAATAAAACAAAAGCACCAACGGTTAGCAAATCCCAGCAGAGGAAGCTGAAGAAGTTGGAGGTGTGTTGGTCTATCTATCCATGCACATTCGTTTTGTTTCGGTTTTCTCTTAATTGGATTTGGATTTGGAATGGTTTGCTGTTTTTTAATTCTCCAGGATGAGAAGGAAAAAGCCCTTTCAATCTCCAAAAGCATTGAGGCCTTAGAGTATGTCTATATATACCTTCCTTGCTCCCTCCCCTCTTTTTGCTTGATATCTAGATGGGGTTTGATGAAATTAATTTTGTGTTGTTTACGTTTATCAGGAAATACAAGCTTCCAGAGACTGTGTATTCTCTTCTGCAGTCTTCGAATAACATTGGCAAGGTTTGTATTTGCCAATTTAAACAAATTTTGATTCATTTCTTTATTCTTAATAGGAGTTTCATTCTGTTTAATCACTATGCTTTTAGGTTGAGTCTAAAAAGGAGAAATGTCAAAAGGGCGTACTATTTTCCAAAGCTGGCTTTGAAGCTTTCGTGACTGACCCCCATCCATTTAACAAGATAGATAGTGACCATACTTGTAGTGAAAGTGAACCTGAGGTAGAAAAAACCCAATCATGGCGGGATATTGGCAAGAATGATCAGGTGCAGTCGAAGATATTACAAAAAGAAATCCAAAAGAAGACAACTTTTTCATTGGACTCCTCTCAAGGTCAAGTTTGTGGCAGAGGGCAAGGCATCAATAGCGGAACTGCTGCTTCCTCGTCAGTTATTGAAAATGCTATTAGCAACAAACTTGACATGTCTTTGCGACCTTGTGGCAGAGGGCAAGGCATCAATAACGGAACTGCTGCTTCCTCGTCAGTTATTGAAAATGCTAATAGCAACAAACTTGACATGTCTTTGCGACCTTGTGGCAGAGGGCAAGGCATCAATAGCGGAACTGCTGCTTCCTCGTCAGTTATTGAAAATGCTATTAGCAACAAACTTGACATGTCTTTGCAACAAGACACAAACATTTCTCCCCCTTCATGTGTGAATGGTGATAGTGAAAAATCGAAGATGGTATGTTTCTCTTCATTATATTATGAGTTTGTCAAAGTATCTTTTCTTCATGTTATTCATTTGGCTTACCGATTACATCCTCCCATTATTGGTTGATGCATTTTAAAAAGGAAACTTTAGTTGGTCTTTTGGGCATATATTCTATTGTTACGATATTCCCTCCTCAATAGAAAATAAAAACAGGAATAAACAAATAACGTCCTATGAGCAATCCGATATGACATTGGATTTTGGATAAGTAGTAAGAGTAGCAGACTAACAATGTGCCAAAACACAATCAACATGCTATACTTTACTGTTTAACAGTAGTAAGAACTGTGGTATTATGGTTTTTTTATATATCTTCTGAGTGACATTCATTTGTATATGACTGCTACCAACTAACTGTACTTGGGGATGGGTTTGGACAGGACCACGTAAAAGAGATGCCAAAAGCAAACATCAGCAGGGTGAGTAAATCATCAATTTCTCCTGCACCGAGGCCTCTTATTTCCCCAACCATAGTGCATGTATCAAGGCCTGAGGAAGTTGAAAACACAAGGAAGGATCTTCCTATAATAATGATGGAGCAGGAGGTAATGGAGGCTGTTAATGACAATTCCACTGTTATTATATGTGGAGAGACTGGCTGTGGTAAAACCACCCAAGTTCCTCAGGTAGGTTATTGCCATATTATTGTTTTTATATTTATCGTTACTGTGTATGCTTGGTCTTAATTTCCTTTACTCTCCTAATTTCTACATTTTGGTTCACATATTGCAGTTTCTTTTTGAAGCTGGCTTTGGTTCTAGCTCCTCTTCTGCACGAAGTGGTATAATTGGTGTTACTCAACCTCGCCGTGTTGCAGTCCTTGCTACTGCTAAGCGTGTGGCATATGAGCTTGGTCTTCATTTAGGTAAAGAGGTTGGGTTTCAAGTTAGGTATGACAAAAGGATTGGTGAAAGTTGCTCCATCAAATTCATGACCGATGGAATATTACTACGGGAACTTCAGGTTCAATAGCTAAGCAGTTTTTTCTAATGCATATCATGATCTAAATAACTGTGCATCAAACAATCACTGTTTCGCTATACTTATCCTCTGTGTGTGTGTGTGTGTGTGAGTGATTAGGCTTTCTGGGCCAAACTATTTGCACATAATGTTACGACATTTGTGTGTAGGATTAGTTTTGAAGGGAACAGGATAAATAGATGGTTTTAGATGATGGAATCAGACCAACAATATCGTTCCTTTTTTTTTTTTTTTTCCTTGAAAATAACACCCCCTTCTCCTCACTCACATTCCTTGTTTGTTTCTCTCATCTTATCAAAGAGCCAACGAAGGATAAGAATGAAGCCATTAATGTCAAGTTGCAGTATCATGATGTCTATGCATGTATATTATATATTTATATACATACTATTGAACCATGAGGATGGAATTACTAGAGTATTGAATAGTATTTGCACAATTTACTTTTGCATGAAGATGCTCAAATGGGCCACTTTTATTCAACCCTGAACTGAAGTTGTAATGGTTTTGGTTCTTCCCCTTTCTCAAGTGTACAGGAATTGTCCGTTACTTCTTGGGATCTATTTTCAACCTATTTTTTTACTGTCACATTTATGCAATTTTGGAGTATAGCTAATTTAGCTATGTATGTTCGGTGTAGTTAAAGGAATCTCTTTTTTATACAGAATGACTTTTTGTTGAAGCGATACTCTGTCATAATTCTTGATGAGGCTCATGAGCGGAGCTTGAACACCTGACATACTTATTGGAATGCTTTCACGTGTAATTCGTACTCGTGAGGTGAAATTCAAGAATGTTTATTGCCAAGAATTTTTTAGTCAAGGTTTTTGACCCTTTTATTGTACTGATTTGCATATGGTGGCAGGAAAGATATGCAGAGCAGCAAATGGAAATGCATTTGGGAAGAACAATAAGTCCTGATCAACGGATATTTCCATTGAAACTTGTTCTGATGAGTGCCACCTTGCGAGTGGAAGACTTCATTTCTGGTAAAAAGCTTTTTCATGATCCCCCACCGGTTATAGAAGTTCCCACCAGACAATTTCCTGTATCCATTCACTTCTCAAAGAGAACTAAGGAAAAGGATTATATTGAGCAAGCATATAAAAAAGTCTTGGCTATTCACAAGAGGCTGCCACGCGGGGCCATACTCGTCTTTGTCACTGGGCAGAGGGAAGTAGAATACTTGTGTCAAAAACTACGTAGAGCTTCAAAGGCACCGAGTATAAAAACATCTAAAGGGGATACCAGGAGTGATGCCAGTGAAGTTTCTGAAATAAATTCTGCTGAGGAAATAGACATGAAGGAGATTAATGAAGCGTTTGAGGTTCATGGAAGTTCAGCGGGCCATCAAACTGATAGATTTAGCTCTTTTGATGAAGATCAGTATGATATAGACGAGGATGAGTTGGATGCCTCGTATGATTCAGAAACAGGGAGCGAACTGGAAAGTTTTGGCGACGATGGGGGCTCATTGTTCCATGATATCCCTGAAAGTGATAGTAATGTTGCTGAAGTTTTAGGAGAGGAGGGGGGAATTGCTTCACTGAAGGCCGCTTTTGAAGCTTTAGCTGGAAAAACTTCTTTAAACTCCAACTCTGATGCAAAAGAACCTATTTCAGATATTGTAGACTCTTGCACGGGAAAAAATAGTGGGTTTGAAGATAATAATTCTCCTGGCACATTGCATGTTCTCCCTCTTTATGCAATGCTGCCTGCGGCCGCTCAACTTCGCGTATTTGAAGAAGTCAAGGAAGGAGAACGTCTTGTTGTTGTGGCCACTAATGTGGCTGAAACCTCTCTAACTATACCTGGGATAAAGTATGTTGTCGATACCGGAAAAGAGAAAGTGAAGAACTACAATTCCTCAAGTGGCATGGAAACATATGAAGTACAGTGGATAAGTAAGGCATCGGCTGCTCAACGTGCAGGAAGAGCTGGAAGAACGGGGCCTGGTCACTGTTACCGTCTGTATTCTTCTGCAGCATATAGTAACATATTTCCTGACTTTTCTCTGGCTGAAATATCTAAGGTCCCTGTGGACGGTGTTGTCCTTCTCATGAAATCCATGAATATTGATAAGGTAGGTGCGAAATGTGTTTTGCTGTTGGGACTATATCTCGTATAATCTTCTAGCTGTCTTGTTTTCATGTTAACAATTTACAACAGTGGGGGTCAACATATACTGATCCCCAAGACCATAAAACATTTTGAAGTTTTCTTCCAGTAACTTGATTTGTGGGGTGGACATATGATTTAACCTCACAAGATTTTCATGTTCATTCTCCTGACTATGCGTAAAATTGACAATACTGACCTCATGCGGTTAGGTGTGGACCGTGTGGTATATTACTGGGTGTAGATGTATCATCCATCTTTTTGTGTTCATGGTTTTGGATGGTTCTTACTAGGTTTTAGGCAGTGTTTTATTTCACCTGAAAATAGATTAATTTTTTTTTTTAATCACGATGCTATTTGCTAATAATGTTTTATATGGTCTTATTTATACTTCGTCTTTTACATCTGGACTGGTGTTATACTATATGATATGACCTTGTTTTTTGGGCATCCAGGTATCCAATTTTCCATTTCCAACTCCTCCAGATGGTGCTGCCTTGGATGAAGCAGAGCGGTGCTTGAAGATTCTTCAAGCACTCGACAAAGATGGAAGACTGACACCTCTAGGGAGGGCCATGGCTCATTACCCCATGAGTCCTCGCCACTCTAGGATGCTCCTTACTGTTATTCAAGTCTTGAGTAAGAAGAAGAGTTCTGGAGCTAATTTAGTGCTAGCATACGCAGTTGCAGCAGCTGCTGCTTTGAGTTTGTCAAATCCTTTTGTCAGGCAGTTTGAAGATAGCCACAAAGAAAGCCATGACTTGAATGAGAACGGGAACATTAAAGTTAAAGACAAGCTAGGGAAGTTGGGGAGGAAGAAACTAAAAGAAACTGTGAAAATGTTCCGGGAAAAATTTTCTAATCCCAGCAGTGATGCTCTGTCCGTAGCTTTTGCTTTGCAGTGCTATGAACTTGCAGAGAGGCCAGTGGAATTCTGTAATGCCAATGGTCTACACCCGAAAACAATGGAGGAAATGTCCAAGCTGAGAAAGCAACTACTCCAGCTTGTCTTTAATCAAAGTGGTGTTTCTGGTGGCGAGAATGACTTGTCATGGACTTTTGGAAGTAGGGAAGATGTTGAACATGTTTGGAGGGTTTCCCACAGTAAGAACCCTCTTTCGTTGTATGAGGAAGAGCTCCTACGCCAAGCTATATGTGCTGGTTGGGCAGATAGGGTTGCCTAAACGCATTAGAGGAAGTTCAGGGTCATCTGAAGGAGATAGAAAAGTCCATGCAGTTCGATATCAAGCCTGCATGCTTAAAGATACAGTGTTTCTCCACCGTTGGTCATCTGTTTCTAATTCAGCCCCTGAGTATCTGGTATACAGCGAGTTAATACAGACAAGACGTCCTTACATGCATGGTGTTACTAGTGTTAAAACAGAATGGCTTGTTGAGTATGGTCGGTCTCTGTGCACTTTCTCGGCACCCCCAATGGATACCAAACCTTACTATGAGCCTCTAACTGACCGAGTATTACATTATGTCATTCCAGCCTTTGGTCCTCATTTATGGGAGCTTCCACTACATACTGATCCAATTGAAGGCTATAAAGACCGAGTGTCTGTTTTTGCTTATGGTTTGCTGAACGGCCAGGTGTTGCCATGTTTAAGATCTGTTCTCGAGTCCATGGCCGCCCCTCCTGCTACTGTTTTAAGGCCAGAGGCAGCAGGTCAAGCACGGGTAGGGAATCTTTTGGCCAAGCTGAGAATGAAGAAGATAGACAGTTGTGCTATGTTAAGAAAGGTCTGGAAGGAGAATCCCAGTGAATTGAAAACAGAAATCCTAGACTGGTTTCAAGAGAGTTTCCGCTGCAAGTATTTTGAAACTCTTTGGTCGCAAATGCACATTGAAGTTCTTTTAGAGCCTGAAGAACGATTCCCCAAGACGTCGAGGAGAGTAAAAGTGAAAAGTTGAAGTGCTGGTTTGGGAGTTTGGCCAGCATACTGACATTGTTTCTTTCTACATGCCATGATTCTGTGAAAATGTGAAAAATGACCAGAAGAAGGAATGGAATGATCAGGATCAGAAACCGTATGGATTTCCGCTCCACATTCGTTCGCAAGCTACTTGAACAATTCGGTTTATATAGTGCATATGTGCAGTTGGTTTACCAATTATTGTTCTTTTCTGGACAATTAACTGAGGTGGTGAAGAAGCAATTTTTAAAAGGTAATTCAAGGGTTCACTTATATTTGATGCCTAATCAGGCTAACGTAGAGCCGTCTGATAAGTTTGATAAGTTTTTTGTGTACGATCTCAATGTCTAATCTTCAATCTTTATTCTTTCTGTACAAAACGGGTAAGAAATTATTTCCAGAATTATCTATGGCCATTATACTTAGTGTTTTGAACCTTTTTTATTTATTTACTGTTCGTTTCAAGCGAAAGAGTTGGAGGCTGAAACGTCGGTGGCTGGATATTTAGCTGTCCATCAGTCTCTGATACCAAAACCCGCAGCCGCGCTCAATCCTAACAGATCGATCGAAGTTTGTCTCCACTGTTGGAGGGTCCGGTGGATGATGTTTGTTCTTGGATTGCTTCGCACCTGTTTGGATTTTGCATTTTGCATCAACACTAGATACTTATTGATGGTCTAAGAGGCACTCAACTAGGCTAATCTTGTTTCAAATAGGCCATTTGTGTGTACAACCGAGTATCCAACAGAGTTTCATATGATGCCCTAATGGATCATCTTCACGCATATGACAAACTCTATATGAAGGCGTGCGCATTTCGCCAAAAGAAGCGGAGAGCCTTTGGCTCATACCACAACGTGTGATATGGTCTCACTTGGTTGTAGGGACATCAGAGTAATTATACGCTTGTGTAGAATTTATTCTCCTAAACTATTTCCCCAATTTAAATTATTCCGAATTTTTATTTGTATTATTGGGTTTTTTTTTTGTTTAAACGAATAGTTTTAGCAGTCGGATCGGTCCAAAATGAAGTGAGGTTAGAACTGGCTATGTCCTAGCCGAAGCTGAATGCCCAAATAAATATAAAAGAAAGAAAGAAAAAAAACGAACTTTTAAAGCCATAACTTTTTCCATTTTTCTTTCTGGTTCTAAGTTTTGGAGCGTGGGACGCTTCTTTCTGGCTCTAAAGCTTTAAATTGTGGGTCAACACCTATGTCGTCCACGACGCACGTGAGATTGTGCGGTCTGAGATGAATTGCCATACGAATACAAACGGAAGTGTCGTAAATTATTCATTACAATGTCATTGAAAGACCAAGGATGCAGAAATTGAAGTCCAAAAGTTTTTATTTTTGAAATCATGTTACAGAGTTCATGTTATACGTTTATCTCTTTACTTCTTTTATTCGCCTCAACTACTATATAACAATAACAAAAGATTTTTTTTTATCCTTCTCCCTCTTCTTTTGAATCAGTTGACGGAGAAAGCATATAATCATTGGATTGAAGGTAGGCAGCACCTTACCAAACTACAACAAATTTGTATTGGAAATACCAAATTTCATGGTGTGCAAGGCCACACTTCTTTGAGATTACTTGTATTCCGCTTTATGTACAAACGACTCCAACTTCCACATTAAAATGAATCCATGTAAGCTTTTCAAATCCGCACCTCCTCTTCTAAATGCATTCTACTCCTGAATTTTTGTGTATGTTTTATTTCAGCTTATTTGTTAATTTGCTCTATTTTGATTTTTGACATGTTTAGCATCCCGACTATTGTAATTTGGCACGCATCCCTTCCGTGGCCTCGCGAAAGGAACTCATTGCGCATGAGGTCCCATCTTTACCTCGTGCAGAAGTTCAATCTACATGGATTCAAGGGTTACATCCCAAACTCAGTAAAATCGATATTTCGCCCAAAACTGCATGGTATATAGAGTTGAAGGAGTGGAAGTTGACAGTAAACATAAAAGAAGATCCGATAGTCGACTGGATATCATCTATACGCAAGATGAGACATTTGTAAAGGCACTACAGATGTTTTCTTACCAATTCTAGAATCAAATGTCTCATCCCTGCAGTATAGGTGATATCCAATCGACTATCGAATATTCATCTTTGTTTACCGTCAACTTCCACTCCTTATACTCTGTATCCCATCCAGTTTTGGGCGAAATATAGATTTTACTGAGTCCGGGATGGAACCCTGGAATCCATGTAGATCGATGGAACCCCATTCGCAAGGAGTTCCTCTCCCGAGTCCACAGAAGGGACAGGTGCCAAATTACAATAGTCAAGATGCTAAACATGTCAAAATATAGCAAATTGTTTGGTACTATACTCAGACACTGTTTTAGATCTTAAAATAGGAAAACTAGGAAAGTCGTGGCAGCGAAGATCAAAATAGGAAAACTAGGAAAGTCGTGGCAGCGAAGATCATGAAGAGAGGAGGGAGATGAGAGAGATGAGAGAGATGAGAGAGAAGCGGAAGAGGAGAGAGATGAGAGAAAAACGGAAGAGGAGAGAGATGACAGAGAAGTGGAAGACGGGAGAGAGAGGATCGGTTGTGGAGTTTTGTGGTTTGTATCTTTGATGTTGCTGAAGCCCTTTTTAATTGGTGTTTAAAAACTTTTAAAACACACTTTTTGTGTTTTTATCAAATAGGCACACACTTTGTGTTTTTATCAAATAGACATACTTTTCGTGTTTTTATCAAATAGGCATTGTTTTTTGGGGAATAAACACTCTTAGTACTGTTTACTTTTTATGAACATGACATTTTTACCTTAAAAGTCACTCCTGATACTATTCACTTACACATTTATTTTGTTGTTTTCATTAAAATTAAAGTTTTTGAAGACTTTTCATTAGTTTTCCTTTGTTTTTAAGGTATTCTTGAATTTAGCTTTTAAAAATAGGCCAACCAAATTGGAGTTTGGAACTCAAACCTTGTATTTGAGTTATAAAAAGAGTATTTGAATTGAATACTAAACAGGTCCTTAAAAACTCATACCTGACTCATAGCACATCTTGCTTTCCGAACCACTTCCCTCACCTCCATCAAATCTTCTATTTGGGTTCTCTCTTCTCCTCACACAACGGCTAGCGCTTTCTACAGAAACATGAACCACGTGTTAGAGTATGAGTATGATTCATACGGTTTGGTAATAATCCTTGTTGTCTCAGATTGCTATAAAGAAGTCTTAATATGTTTATGAGAGTTAATTCGACTTTAGTTAGGATTGAAACTCTGTGTTGATAAGCTTAAGAATATAACTCATACTTGTACAAGGATTTGGTCTTGTATTCCTTGTGGGATTGTTATAGGGCGATCCAGGTCTTGTAGTATAAAATCACAAGTCCCTGCTCTCACAAAGCACGCTCTTATTGTTCCAATTACCTATAACTTGGAGAGCATTGAGTTTTGCAGAGAGGAGAAGGTTGTGTGTAGATTCGTCCATGGCTTCTTCATCCATGTATGTGTTAAACTAAGAAACACAGTAGCATTTCAAATCAATTTCATATCTCAGGCCTTACGGAAAGGCTTTGCTATATACACTGCACCATACAACTTTACAATTCAAAATACAAGTGACAGCACGCCACACATACAGCAGCACCATCTGCTGTCTTCTGACAGCACACATGGGAAAGACTTCATAAGCAGTCTGCAGGTATGTATTGTTGAGAATACTTCAGTATTTGTATATATAGGACATACTTGATGCAACAGTTGTGATTTAGTTGGTTAATTCTTATGTTCTTGGCTAGTTTCCTATAGAACTTGTATGGTTGCTCTTACACCACGAACTTCTATTTTCTACCTTCTTGGTCTACATGTTCCAGCTCCTTCCCCCTCATTTTCCACGACATTGTAATGATTAACTTACAGCACTTACATGTGTATTGGTATAGCAATTCTTAAGTTCTTTTGACACCGCAGAAGCCCACAGATGTCTCAGGCGACAAAGGCGTCAACCCACAATTTAAAGCTTTTGACCCAGAAACGAGCGTCCCACACCCCAAAACTTAGAACCAAGAAAGAAAAATGGGAAGTTATGGTTTTAAAAGTTAGTTTTGATTGTGTTCCAAAAAAAAAAAAAAAAGTCAGTTTTTATTTTCCTTTTATATTTATGTTGGGCATTTAGCTTCGGCTAGGACATGATCGGTTCTGACTCAATTCTTTCTGGACCTGTCCGATCGCTATAATTATCTTTTAGACAAGAAAAACCCAATAATACAAATATAAATCCAGTTTGATGAGGGAAACGAGAGCGATGTCTACACAAGCGTAGAATTACTGCGGTGTCCCTATTATCAAGAAAGACAAGTAAGACCGTGTCACACTGGTGTGGTTCCAATTTACGGCTTTTCCAACAGTATGAATCAAAAACGTTCTTTGGCTAAGAAACAGTTAAAATGTATATGCCTTTATATAGAATTTGTCATAGGCGTGAAAATGATCCATTAGGGGACTAGTGAGGTTCCCTAAGTGGTTGGTTTGAACCTCACACAAGCCAACAACAGTTGACTAAGAGAGACGTGACCGAAGGCACCATCGAGAGTCCAGTTTTGGGATGAATGCCATGATACGGCTAACCTTTGCTCAGGAATCAGGATCACCTTTAACTCTCGGCCAACCTCGTTCAAAATTTGTTCTTTTTCCAACTTTTTTTAATCTGGACTAGAAATTAGTGTCAAAATATTTGTTGGCCACTGCTCCGATTCATCTCTATGTGTTCGAAAATTAAAACCAATGCATAGGAACAAAGAAAATGGGTAAGTTTCATTTTGCATTTTTTTTAATTAAACTGTAATAGGAAGAGTGGGTTTGATGATAATAATTCTCCTGGCGTATTGCATGTTCTCCCCCTTTATGCAATGCTGCCTGCGGCAGCTCAACTTCGTGTATTTTAAGAAGTCAAGGAAGGAAAACGTCTTGTTGTTGTGGCCACTAATGTGGCTGAAACCTGTTTAACTCTACCTGGGATAAAGTATGTTGTCGATACTGGAAAAGAAGTGAAGAACTACAATTCCTCAAGTGGCACGGAAACATATGAAGTACAGTGGATAAGTAAGGCATCGGCTGCTCAACCTGCAGGAAGAGCTGGAAACGGGGCCTGGCCACTGTTACCGTCGGTACTCTTCTGCAGCCTGTTGAGAATCAATGTCAGCCCAAAACCATAAGTAATCCACAACCCAATCTAAAGTCCAACTCCATATCTAGTTTGATGATGTAATTGCTTACAATTGCAAAGTTAGGTAATGTTAGGTATGATTGAGTAGAAAAAATTAGGTGCAATTAATGGGTTTTGTGAGGTAGTAAATAATCTTAGTTTAATTAAGTGTGTGGTGTAGCTTTCATTTGGTTTGCTATAAATACCCAAGTCCCCAAGCATTGTATATCATCCAAGGAAAAACA